GGAGGAAACGCGGAGGAAACGCGGATACGATGCCACGATATTCGAGAAACAACCCCCGTCGCCTCTGCGCGCGATGTGACTGGGCGGAGAGAAAGAGAGGGAGAGAAAGGGAGTGAGAGAGGCGGAGAGAGTGAGAGAGAGTGAGCTTGCGAGAGTAAGAAATAAGAGATTACGAAAAAAAAGAAAAAAAAAAAAAAAAAAAAAAAAAACAAGAACGAGCGAAAGGGAGAGAAAAGAGAGAGTGAATGAAATGAACTCGCAGAAGTCCGTAGATAGATAGACAATTTTCGAAACAACGTTTTCGTGCGTTCGAGAGAAGATCGTTGCTGCGACCTGACACGAGATGTACGAGCGTTTCTCTCTGACCGACACCGTGGAAAACCTGCTCCTGCCCCCCTAAGTTTCGAGTTTCGATTTTTAAGCCTGTTCGAGCCACGTTTCTCGCTGAACGGCGGACAGAGGGGAACGCTTGGGAAACGAGTACAGAATTCGATCGGTCGAGTTTCAAGTCAGTTGTAATATAATCGATCGATTGAGATCGTGGTGCTCGATCGGTGTTCTTCTTTTTTTTTTCTTTTTCTTTTATTTTTTTTATTTTTTTTTTTTCTTCTCTTTTCTTAAGTGGAACGTCGCAGCCAAAGACGTAGGCTAAAGGATCCTACTTAGGAGTTATTTTTATTCGCGCGTCACGGGAACACGTGGGCCAAAAGAGCTCGCTCGTTTATTATTATTACTATTACCGATTATTATTATTATCGATATTTTTTTTTTTTTTGTCTTGTTTTCCCTTTTTCTGTTGACTTATATTATATTGTAATAATTGATTTTAGCTAACGTTCGATTAATTGCGAACAACGTTATTCGTCGGGTAGTATTATTGTAACGCGTCCCGCTATCATTTTCTATTTGTCAGGATGCAATAACCAGCACTGTGTTGCGAATACAGTTGTCATTGTCTTTGAGATCCGATCATTTCGTTTACTTCGACTTTCTACAGAGGTGAAACGCGCGGCTCGGGGAAATCGTATGGCTCGAGGGAAACGAGAGCTCTTTGAGACGGACTGGAAGAAATAAATAAATGCTTTCCCGTGAAAAAAGAAGAAAAAAGGACAGAAAAAAAAATCGGTAAGGAACGTCAATCTGATTCGTGTTACAAGACAGTTTTAGTCAATTGAACTGGCGTCCAGCCGATTTCTCCGAGCCGCCGTTTAATGAAATGTGAACATAACCCCATACGATATATATGTATATATATACGCGCACGCAAAGCATAAAATATTACGATAAGTATATATAATCATGTAATTACACGTGCACACGTTCGGATGAACAGTTACGCGTAATCTGTTAATATTCTTCCTGCGTGCAGAACAAGGATATAACAGCCACGAGCTTCGATGAAGTTTTGCTAACCATCGTACAGTTAACACCATAAGAGTACCATTCTTTTTTATCCGATAGCCATTGCTATCGAGATACGTCGTTTCCTTTTTCGATACGAATTATTCGGTCCGATCAGTTGGTTTCGCGCCCCGATCGTCGGAGCGCGAGACGTTCGATTATTATCCGATTTTTGTGTGTTTCGGGCATATTGATCAGCGTGTAAAAATTGTCACGACCGTGTCTTCGTTATTCACCGGATAGCTAGAAACCCTGACGAGTATCGAGGAACGTCCCGTGCGTTTCGTTTCAACGAATTACACTTTTCCGTGGGCCAACCGATTCGACCGTCAACAGCGAACATTTCCAATGCCGATGGATTTTATTGTCAACTAATAACGTTGGTTGACCGCGTTGTCTTCGCGTTAATTTACAACACGGATGCACGCTGTTCTGTCCGCTATCGTGACGTTCTTCGTTTAGCCTGTTATGTCATCGTTCCAGTTTTACCCGCAAACGATCGGTACCCGTTTGTGCAACTCGTAAAAGAAAACGCGATAACGGCCATTATGTAACGTTCCGTTCCTCTCGCTCCTCGGTTCGATTCTCCTCGTCCCATCGCAAACGGGTGTGTTCGAATCGGTCAAGCAAACGTTGTTACACTTTAGATGCTCGTTCCTAGAACGGTGATACGAAACGATATGTTATATCTAATCGACGACTATATCAGGAATCGGGAATATTCGAGATCTCTGCGTGAAAGTGGTGGCCGGTAAACGGAAAAGTAAACGTTTCGTTCGAGTTAGCTTCGGAGCACGTGTTTATTGCTTGTTTTCCAATTTACATATCGCGTCGATCTACGAGATCTAAAAATTGTTTCGTGTTTTAGCCCTGTGTCGTGTCACACTGATCATCAATTTTTGCGGACATGCAAATTTCCTCCCTTCCCGCTTTTTTTTTTTTTTTGTGCTTCTATTGGCATAAGCCATCGATCGATCGTTCCACGATCACCGTATTGACAACGCGAGTTGTGTTCGTTATTCCTTCTGTTGATTTTCTCCGCGATGCGAAACACGAACAGAGAAGTCACGTAAACGTAATCGAACACACCGACACACGAGCACAATAATTTCATCGCGTCTCTTCGGTAAGGAGTAACAAAAGAAAAAAGAGAAAAAAAAGAAAAAAAAAAATGAAAAAAGAGAATAATTCAAACGAACGAAAAAAGAAACAGAAGTCTGAGAAACAAATTTTTCGTCGATTTTTTTCGACACGATCGAAACGTTTCGAAATGGAACTGCATCGTGATCGTTGTGTGCATGTGTGAGAAGCGAAAAAGAGTTCACGAATTTCAAGACACTCGCTTTATCCCGTTCGTCGTTGTCCTTACTTTTGTGATATGTCTTTTCGTTGTCGCGCGAAACAACCGAGGAACACCGAGTGTTCTGTGTACACGGCATGTTATGAATTACAGGGAGTCTTAGAGTCTCGTCGTTCACATTGTCGAATTAGGGAACCATTAAATAATTGCGATTCTGTTTTCAAACGCATAGAATGGGAACGGAACAAAGGTTTTTAAAATATTTTTTACGACGCCTCGCGAGAAACACAAGCAAAGGCGGATTGATGATAGCATGAAAGAACGAACGGAAGCTCGGCGATATGGTACAGCTTGCAATGAGAAAACTTGCAATATAACAAGCAATAAATAAGCCACTTTTAATTCCATGTATATTAAACAATTATGTGGATGCTTAATGAGATTTATTGAATTAAACGAGCAAAAGAAAAAAAAAAAAAAAATAAAGCCAAGAACTAAGACGAAATACCGATTTTACATATTCTTACTAATCGTAAACGATTACAATACGTATAGCGACATACTAAATTATACGATTATGTATCGATTTAAAAGAGCAGATTAAAAGAAAATGGTAAATAGCGAATAAATCATAAACTAAAAAGCAAAAAAAACAGTACGGCTGCGGGCGGGCATCGCCGCGCAGACGATAATGTCTAATCTACATAAGTACGTAAAAGTTTCAATTTTACACTACCGATAATAATGACATAACGGTAAGGCTCTATATAAGATATAATGATGATTTATAATAATTATAACGTTGTACAGAATATTTATGAAAGGCGCGCTGCTGGCGAAAGAGCCGCGCGTTTCTTCGCGTTCGTCGAGTCGCGAACGCGAATAATAAAATAAACCAAGAGAGGGAATAGGAATAAACGGAGAACGAAAAAGGAAAAGTGAAAAGAGAAACGGAGAAAAAGAGAAAAAGAAAATAATACGAGCAGACAAATGAGAGAAACGTTTGCCTTTCGCGTAATCCGATAAATTGTTCGAATTAGTCGTGAGTTTGAAATCGTCGATAAATTTTCAGACACCCACGGTGTTGAGCGGACAACGCGCGACTCTCTATCCAAAAGCGGCCAGACTACAATGGATGTTTTGTAAGATAAAGCAAAACGATCACGGATTATATTGAGATCGCGTTTAGAGAAATGTATAGTCGATTGCGTATTCGAGGCAGCTCGAATTTACTCGACGACGCCTTTCTCGATGGGAGAATTAAAAAATGGCAGGAGAAAAGGAATAAAAAGAAAAAAAAAAACACAAAAAAAAATAAAAGAAGAGGTACGAAAACCGCGGCTCTTTTCTTCCGCGAATATATTCGAGCGTAGCGACAGATGTGCCGACGAAGGGCGAAATTGCGGTCCTTAAAATTTAAACAGAAAAGAGTAACAAAAAGAAACAAAAAATAAAAAAAATAAAAAAACAAAAGCGAAACAAAATAGAAACAAAAGATAGAAAGTGAGAGAATTTATCCGCCGCAGGTGTGTGGCGTAAGAAAGGGCCGATAATCTAATTCATTGTGTATGTATACAGACAAAAAATAAATATAATATTGCGATTATAAATATTAAACTAATAAAGAATAACAATATTGTACCCCTCTGTACATATAAATATATATTATAATACGATTATTATTACTATATGATTTATTATAAATATATATACATAAATATAAATATATCTCATGAATTCACATTATTATGTTTATTATTGTTTACTTATTATTATTAAAATTATTATCATTGCGATGATAACGAGGATGATGATGATGATGACGATGATTATTATTATTATGATAATATTATTAATATTTAAGAAAAGGTTCACAACGTGCCGTGTGTATGTGGGAATAAAATATATAATATAATGGACATTGTTCAATTCAATCCAACGTCGTTGTTGTTTTTCTATCTCCTTGTTTCTACTCTTACATCGTATCCTTATTAATGTAGCTAATTTTCCTTCGTAATAGTTACAGTTTCTTTTCTCCTTTTTTCTATTTAAAAAATGGATAAGAATATTTTGAAATATTGCTCATCTCGATTTATCGATATTACGTTGATAACAAAGGATAGCGAATTAATTCCTCGATTGTTTAGTATATAGTTTGGGCATTTCTATTGTTACATTCTCTTGCAAATACTATTTTTGACAAAATGAGTCGTGTAATAATTCTAGACGCTTTCTACGTTTATATTTCGCGCTTTAATCGAGGGCACATCCATCGATAAGTTGACTAGAAAACATGGCGTTAGCCATCGTGTATTGGTTATCAGTGCTTCGGATAAGTTGTCAAACGTGAAATGAATTTCCTATCGAATATTGTATGACAGTTTAAGTAATAAAGTTGTCCATTGTTTAGAACAAAATGGGTATCTTCTTCGCAAAGAAAAAGCCACCGAGTCGTGTCACCGAACAGGACAAAGCTGTTCTAGTAGGTTGCTTCATAAGTATCTTAACCTCAATAACTCTTGTCTTAATTATTTGTTAAGTGGTTTTTAATTTCTTTATAGCAATTAAAACAAACTAGGGATAAAATCAAGCAATATCAACGAAGAATCGAGAAAAATCTCGAGAAAGAACGTTTATTGGCAAAGAAACTTCTAGAAAAGAAACAAAAAGAGTAAATTACAGCTTTTTTCATATCTGTATTTAAATAATACAAATAGGTTTACTGAATATTATAAATCTTTTCCAGACGAGCTTTACTTCTTTTACGAAAAAAGAAGTTCCAAGAACAAATATTATCAAAGACTGATGGACAACTAGAGAACCTTGAACGTATGGTGCACGATATAGAATTTGCTCAAATAGATTTAAAGGTTGTCGAAGGCCTAAAAGTGGGCAATGCTGCATTAAAGAAACTAAATGATTTGTTATCCATTGATGAAATTGAAAAAGTTATGGATGAGACCAGAGAGGGCATTGAAAAAGTAAACGAAATCAATGAAATTTTATCAGGAGAACTTACGCAAGAAGATGAGAATGAAGTCGAAGCAGAGCTTGATGCTTTGTTAGCGACAGAAATTGAAGAAAAAGTACCAGAAGTACCAATGGATATAACATTGCCAGAAGTACCAGAAGAATTACCAGAAAAGAAAAAGGGTAAAATCTCTGTATAATTAAGTTACATTTATTCCTCTGTATAAGCGATACGGGTAATTTATCGATATCTTAATTATTTTATAGAACGTACAAAAGAAAAGCAACAAGAAGCTGTTGCTTTGGAAGCATAAAAGGGTGATACGTATAACGTACACTAGCATGGAGATTTTTATCCTATTGGCACTTGGCGCTGGGGTCTCTGTATATATGTACAGGACATTGTATGAAAGACTCGGTGTGCATACTTTTTGTTTGGGAAGTGTAATTAGAAGAATGGAACTTACGATTTATTAACGCGGTGTTTTTTAAGTACTAAAGACTGTTCTTATTATTCTTATAAAGTGCGTATAGATGATTTGAATACCGTAAGCGAAGGTTACAATGCAGTGGATACGTGATCTAGGCAAATGTACATTGCTCTTTCATAATAATACAGATCATATCTGTTTTACAATGATAACTATATTTGTACTGCCTTATATGTACAAATACCTTTTTACCTTATTATTGGCCTCTCTTATATATAGTTATACAAAAAGTTCAAATGATTGAACGCTTTTAATAAATGGTATTATTTACAATATGCTTCATTAAATTTTACCGTGCAATAAATCGTAAAAAGTCTTGCAAATACGAATTGAAAAAGTATTGTAAATATTATAATACCTTTCCCGAAAATTTCTATTATTTCGGTTTAGAGAGTAATAGATTATTCGTTTTAATTGTTACACCCACCCAAATATTATTTTTGGATAAAAAAACAATTTCAAATTGACGGAATCAATAAATTCTATTGTTTTCGTTAATGATTTAGTTATAACAACCATACGTGCGTAGTAACTTTACGTTTGTTAAAATAATGTATATAATATATCACTTCTTCTTCACTGACTCGGAATGTTTTTAAATTTTGTTTCCAATATGAAATTGCATAGCCTTCTTTCTTTATGCGCGGCATATGATAAAGTATACATATATACACAATTAGAAGGCTACACGTGACAAGTCAGCGTAATTATTCTGAGTCAGATAAGATAAACCACCCACCGAAACATACTTAAACACACCTTATTGACTTCGAAATATTTTATACATACATAGTTACTACGATGTGTATATATATAGTTAGTCTCAGTTGCAACGGATATTAAATAATTGTCGATTAAATTTGTAAACGATACACGTAGTACTTATAGTCCATCTATTTTTATAATTATTCATTTTCATTTATCGTAATTCATCGAAAGAATACATTACCAGATAGTCGGTGCCATTGTGCTACAAGACGTCATAATGTAATACAATTTGACCCGTGCTTCACTGTCATCAGCATAATTAAACAAACACTTCGTAATAATGCGTATTAAGTATCGTGCAGGTCATGTATGTGACTAGTATAAAAATTTCTTCTCTTATTAACGTTCCTTTTTCGAGGTCAACAACACGACATTTTTCAAATCGAACAGATCGAGGCATTCAATCATTTTAACGTCGACTCAACTACCCTGGTCATGTAAGTAATATAAATTATTGAAGCATTCTTTTATTTTATCCTATATTTTCTTCTCTATATATATATTTTTGATAATAATTCGTATCATTATTTTATACTATATTACTGTTAAATTGGTGACGGTAATAAAAATGAAAGAGACGCACACAGTTAGTCAAATTATAAACGTGACATTTCGTAGTCTGTTTACGATCTTGTCATTGCCGGTTTTTCTATTACGTCGCAGATGCGTGGAGTTTTTTGTTCTTCTAATTTGTGCAAAGATTTATATCCTCATGCAAAAATTATTACCGTGTCTATTTATGAGCAGTATAATATAAAAATATGTAATATCTTATATGCGAAGTGTCTTGCAACATACATAGGTAACGGCAAGGGGAGGGGGGGGGGGGGGGGGA